CCAAGGGCCAAGGCATTGCTTTCAAACGTTAAAATAACGTTATGATTATAAAGTTATAATTGACAAAAAAAAGGATTGAAATTTGTAAACGTAATTATAACGTAAATCGATAGTCAAAAATAGTTAAATACCGCTAAATAAAACATAACGATTAACAAAGTATATTTTATATCATAACTCAAAACATAATTATAGAATATCATTAAACGAAAAATAACGCAAAACATAATTTATAGAGTATCTTAAACAAAAAATAACGCAAAAAGAAATCTTTTAAAATCTAATTATTTAAAAGGTCTACTAGATTATATTATATTCCGTATCCGGGCTATTACCTACCTAGTACCTACCCGTATTAGTTATTATTTTTAAATTTAATAGTTATTAACTATTAACATGATTTTAAATAACGATAAACGCAAAAATTGTGTAACGTTTTAATTATTGTAAATACCTAACATAAAACGGAATTTTTTTTTTCAAATGCAAGCCCTGGACATAGGTGGGTGGGGGATGCACCACTGGTTGTGCCACTGGTGCTGACGTGCTGTTATTGTTTTTGTTATAAATTGTTACAATCAAAATATCGTATTCAGATACTGAATGATACGTCTATAGTCTATACGGAGATAATGCATTTTTTCAAGTTAATTTTTCTTCTAAAACACGATCGCACTAGATAAAAATGCAGTTTAAAAATGGAGAAAAATGAAAATAATTGACCCAAGTGTAGAATAAAACTTTCAAAATAATGAAGTCTCTGAATAACCAAAAATGCAGAAAAAAAAAGTGATTGAATATAATAATATTTCAATGTTAAAAACAAAGGATTGGAAAAACAAATTTTCTCAACATTTGAGGGTACTGCTTGTTAGGAATCAGAGTGTGAACAGTGTCGGGAATACGTTGCGGGCTTCGCTACTTTTCTTCGATCTCGGTGCCTGCGACGGCGGCGGCAGTAGTAGTCGTAGCCATTCGTTCGGCGGCCGTCGCTATAACACCATACGCTCCTGTTACATGTAAAACTGATCGGACTCAGACATGATTTCTATAACGTCCCAGCAACGTTTCTATAACGTCCCAGCAACGTACCTACAACGTCAAATGAATCAACCGAGTAAAAAACCAACCGTCACGTCTCATGCGTTGTTTTCGGCGAAATTCCATCATCCAAATTAAGTTTATTACGATAACTTATAAGTCAACAAATTTTACTCCGCAAATGCAAATACAATTAAAAGTGCGTAAAACTTTGCTTCGTCAAGGGATCTAGGACGATTGGTCACAGGCACCACCCGCTGTAAAACGTCGAAATTGGTATTGGTCTCCGCCTTAAAAGTTAAACACAAAATAATTTTCAACATGAAACGTTTTAAAAGTATCCCATTGTCTCAAGGAAAAATTTTACCAATTGTCCGTGTACAAAATTATGACGGGGACCGATTGTCTACGCATATGGCATTTTTATGCGGAAACCAATTTGCCGTATACCACCGTAGTCAAGCTAGGGATGACGTGTTCAATTTGAGATATGATGAATTTTGTCAAATTTTGAACTTTAAATACTTATCAAAAAAAAGGCGCTAATGTATTTTTAATATTTTTAAATTACTATTGCAATAGTATGATGAACCTTGCATTAAATTTTTTCACCAAAAATAAAAAAATTAAGAAAATTTAAGAAAAAAAAACAATACAATTTGAAAATTGAAAATGTCTATAAATAGCACAAACAGAGTCAAAATATTTAGAAAATTGTAACATGTTAGGGAAATGATAAAATTAAAATTTGGTGAAAATTTCAAGCGTATAAACGTTATATTACCTATATTCATTTTTGAATAACAACAAAATAATGAAATCGTTTCATCGTTACATGATTATGTGAATATCCAATGTCAAAAAAATTTGAACTTCATAAACTTCATGAACAGTCATAAACAATTTATTTGATTTTCAGGTAGACTTCTTTTTGTTAAAGGTAGGAAAACGTAATAAGTGGAATCTTGTATTACATTTTATAATCTTAGGTATAAATAGAAAATATATTATGAATTTTCAACTCAAAATAGTTAGTTGTAATTCGTGGTTTTGACGAAAATGATCAAACTTCTAACTTCAGACATTCATAAAAATAGATTGTTAATTTGCGCTCGACTTTTTTTAATTTCCACTAATAATAACTGACCTTGCATTTAATTTTCGACCGAACAAGAAATTTTTTATCGTCAATAATTTAAAAAAAACTAATAAAATGTAGTTATACATTTTAATTGATGGAATAATAAATATATATATACTATTATTAATTAATACCTATGGTTGTAAATTATGTGTGTAACTGCATAACTGTGTTTCTGTATGTATAAAACTATAATAAAATATGGTATACAATCTAGAATTGATGATTAAAAATCAACAGTTTAATACAATAAGGTAATTCAGTAATATAACTTATACTGTTATAAGCTTCCTTATTTATAAAATTATAAACTTATAAAGTTATAACTTATAACACTTTGCACTTCTAAAATAATTTATATAAACTATAAATTATAATTGTATAAATTCTATATAGTTTTAAATAGTTATGGAATAATTTACAACATTAAGTAAATTAATAAGTAATAAACAAAAAACATCAAACTTTTTTTTACATAAGTTTTAAAATATGTTTTATGGCTATATTTAAATTGGTTATACAGGATATAAATTTGTTAAAAAACTTCTACATTACAATATGTTAATATGCTACATATTTTCTGTGTTTCATTCAATTAGGTAACTTTTAAAAATGTTAGTTTGCAAGTTCATGGCTATACACTTTTAGATATAATAAAAATGTTTTTTTTTTTCATAGAAATGAAATATTTCATGAAAAATCTTGAAATATTTTGAAAAAATTTAATTTCATAAAATTTTAAAATCCTATGCACAGACATATACAACACGATAATGTATTACGTATTAGGTATGACTCATGAACTAAGATATTCTAAATTCATGATTATACATACTATGGGTATAAACATATTATTAGTAAGTAAAATAAATAATAATAATATATTATAATTTATTACATTAACACCTATAATATTTACATATTATTATGTCATAGCCATTTCTTGAAATCGATCTTTTCAAGGAAATGTTATCCATTAAATGAAGTGGAAGCGGCCTTTTCACACTTTGAGAAAAACTTAAATATTACTATCCCAATTCCCAGTCAAATTAGGTTTTCAGCTCGGAAAAATTCCCACCTAGCTGAATTTTGGTACACATCTTTATTACATCGTTGTAAACAATGTGTAAAAAGTCAACCTCGATATCACAAATGGTCTTTTGACGTGAAAATGTCAATTACCTCCTCTATAATTTGTATCTAAAACTTTTTTTCTACGACCAATAGAAAACGAGATATTAAAAAAAAGGCCAATTCCGTCACGACCGTTGACCTAGAATAACCTTTAACGCGTACATGATATCGAGGTCGACTTTTTACATATTGTTTACAACGATGTAATAAAGATGTGTACCAAAATTCAGCTAGGTGGGAATTTTTCCGAGCTGAACCTCTTTTTTCGTCTAATTTGACTGGGCTATACACAAAATGATTTCGTTTGCATGAATAAATGAAATTAGTTACTTCAATAATTGTCATTGTTTAATTTAAAAAAATAGTCTGCACTTTACGTAGGTGTGTACCACACACAATTATTATTGGTTATTTTGTATATACTATACAGACTAATATTTGTTTATGGTATAATAAATGATTTATTTTTTAGTGTAATTAATAAGACTTAAATACTTTATTATTATTTATTTATAAATATTACTGTGTACCTAATGTATAGGTAAAGAACTAAAGTCATCATAAATTCATAAGTTAATATTACGTATTTTTATGTAAATATTAAAAAAAACTTTAATTTATAGTTTTGTAAACAATTATTGGTATCAAATATGACATGAATAAATAATAATATTAAATTTGTATGTTAAATGTTTTATTTCACAAAGCGACTGTCGCATTGTGAAAAATATTACGCGATTAAAGTGACCGCATTTCATTGAAAATTGACTTTTTTATGAAATATTTTAGTATTAATTAACAAAGTGTGAAAAAGACGTTTTCAAAAAACACGAAATGTCTACGACAAAAATATAATAATTAATAATATACAGTAGGTTATAATATGTGCAAACGTTACGAGTTTATTGCGAACAAGTGCCCAGTCCAATATAATGTAATTATTATAAAATTTTTATTTAGGTACGCACAACAACCGCCATCACCGTGAACCTGAATGACTTCTTGTACGTCCTGTTGCAATCACTGTGTACCTACACATGTCTATTATTGTCTAATATTAGATATAAGGCCATCAAGGTGTTGAAAGATCGAGTGTTCAGCGCCCTCTAAGCGGAGTGCAACCTCACGTTTCGGATAATATTATAATTATAATATTGTGCTGTGTCCACGCACATGCAGTAGGTAGGATACCTACCTATACCTACATCATGTCCGGCAACGCCTAATTTTTTGCGTCTGTATCATTATTATTATATTTGATTGCTTAAAAAATTATTACATTTTTGTACAGTGCGGTACTATGGTGCCCTGCTCGATCTATATACGATCAATGTCCAAGGTCATTGTCACATCGCCTTGCCGGCGTTTAATTGTGACCATGCACTCTCCGTCGTCCAGTTTTCGTATAATACTATAATATGACATGTACAATGTATATTATTTGTATTTGCATGATCCGGATTTTGTCCTTTCGGACGGGCAACGCCCTGTGCTTTAGGTAGGAGCCGGAACACCCTGGATACCTATACCGGTATTATAGGTACCGGCTGTTTATTTATAAGGACCGCCGTACCCGACATCGGCATCACACTCCATCTCCTCACATCCCGAGTTACACATCGACCACAGGTTGAAGTTTGCAGATTCGTTGTAGACAACGCAAGAAGAAATCACCAAACACGAAATGGCTTCTTTCAAGTATCTGGTGAGTGGCTTTAACAACACAATATTGTAATATTATATCGCAGCGCAAATGTTATTATCTCGTTCGGACGATAAATTATTAATGTTGTATAGCTACGTACATACAGCGTACCTATACCGCATAATATTTGTCGATCGATTATTATATAAATGCAAATTCCAACGTCAGTTCAGTTATATACCGATGTACTAATATTTTCGAAAAATTCTTGACCCTTGAGACATTATCGATATAATATAATTTCTCCTTGAATGATGTCTAGATCTATAGTACCGTCTAAACGAGTCGGGGACCTTCAAATACAATTTATTATTAGAAATGTACGTTTTTTAATTATTTTAACAACTACTATAACCGTTATTCAATGTTGTCCAAACATGTTTATTCATTACGATAATTTTAACCAGATTTCCTAGTTGCTTACTATTTGTCTGTTTACTATAATATAATATTAAAATATTGTAATATTATATTATATATTTTTTTATTATTTTATTATAATTTTTTTTATTATTGCTTATTAATGTACGTTTAAAAAAAAAAAAAGATATCAACAATACATAGTTTCCGAACAACTGTCTAGGAATTCTCAAAATGTACACGACTTAAACTAACTCGCTTCTCTTAGTACCTAGTCAGTAGTCAGTAGGACATATTAATACGGCTATTTGTGCTACTATAATACGATATATTACTTTTCATAAACCTATATAAGCCGAACTACCTACATAATGTAAACGAAAAAACGAATTGGTCAAATTTGTAGTTCTAGTTGGATACAATTCAGATTTAAATGTTAAGCCATTCTTCTGTTTTACTGCACTATACCGATTATAAATTTCAATTTAATAATTATATTAAGAAATATAATAAAAATGACAAAATACATATCGCATTGTTATTCGTCATTGACACACTACGCTGTGTCTGTACCTATTATAATTATTAATTTATATCAAATATTATAATATATTTATGTTTATCATTTTATTCATGACATCAAATACGAATTATATTTAATTATTATTATTTGTGTTTTCCGCACTATACAGATATTCATCGCCTTGGCCGTGTACTCCGTTTCCGCCGAAGAAGGAGTGAGAGCAAAGAAACACGCCTACATCGCCGCTGCCCCAGCTCGTAAGTGCCAATACTTTAAATTTTAATATACGATAACGCACTTATATAATATTATCGTCAAATTCGAAATAGTTCCTGTAAATCAGATTTTTAATCAACCTATATTATAATGTTAAGACGTTAAATGATTTATTAATTTTTGTCCACAGCGATTTTGAGTTACTCTGCCTCTGCCCCTGGATCGTTCTCATACGCTAGTTACACCGGTTACCCGTACAGCTATCCAGCAACAGCAGCTGCATACCACGCGCCAGCCGCATACCCTGCAGCAGCGTACCCAGCAACGGCTTATGTCGCCGCCGCATACCCGACCTACCACGAAGATGACGGCCAATACTGGCCTGGCAAATACGAAAAGTCTTACGTCCCAGCCTACAAGGCCGCATACCAGAGCTACCCCGAAGACGATGGCAAATACTGGCCTGGCAAATACGAAAAGGCTTACGTCCCAGCCTACAAGGCCGCATACCCGGTCGCCTACCACTATTGAAAACTCTCACCAAACCTCCCTTCAAAACAATCGTAGTTCTTCCATAAGACTTTTAACAATAAAAACGTGATCTTAATTTTTTCATCAATCGATTTTGTTGTTATTTCTCTGTATACCTTATCCAGACAGTGTCATACAATATCATAATATGATATTATGATATCGCCTATTTACGGTATATACCTACCTATTATAACCTATGTCTGTATTATGCACTATTATACAACAAAATAATATGTAAAGTTCACCATAGTGCTAAGGAGGGGGCTATGAAGGTGTTATCCTCCCCCAAAGTCCAGCTTTGTAAGCAACCCAACTTGTATATAATAATATGAAGATATATATTGTGTATATTGAATATATGTCTATTCAAATCTTTGTATCACCCACTCAAGAAAAATCTTAGATACGCTACTACAGCTATAGTGTATAGTATATAGGTACCTACTGTATTATGCATTTGCTTAAAACTTAAATCGCTTTCAAATTTCATATTAGTAGCACGCTTTAGTAGCTATACAATATAGTACCTACTATATATTATAGCAGTGGCGTAATTAAAAAGGTGCTCTGCTGTACAGTAGGTTACAAGTGGGTCACTGTATAATGGATGGTATTAAATTTGAATTCAATAATATAAAATCAGTGTATAAGAAAAACGATTCTGAGCGGAGACCGCGGTATGTCAGTCTAGGTATAAGACATATTATATACTTACACGTGGTATTAAAAAAAAATTTACCTATAATAGGTACCTATAATAAATCCCAAATTAATCAGATCAAAATATCCATTAGGTACATATAACGCGTTATACATCAACAACAAATCCTGATACTATCATAGATATATAATAGTGTACCTTTAGAAGTTTCAAGTACCCACGAATAATATTATCCAATCACAACAAAATAACAAAAATAGTTATTCTAGGTTTTTTATTATGTAATTTCGTCCAAATTTGAACTTAAAATAAAAATAAACTGTCCTTCTGAGTTTTTTTAGATTTTTAGAATAAACTACTCACGTGAAATATTGTTTTAAATTTTCAATCCTTAGATATAAAATTTGAACATTTTATACATTTTTAACTACAAAATAATTATTCAATTTTAAATTTAATACATTTTGTCAAAATTTGATCTTTAAATGCTTATAAAGAAACATTGTGCCTATGTATTTTTTTTTATATATTTACTGTAGATTCTACAGTCATTCGTTTTTGAATTACAACAAAGTAAGGAAATCGCTACACGAGAAATCGAGTGAATATTCAATGTTGTAAAAATTTGAATTTCAAAAGCTAATAAAAATTTAATTTGACTTTCTCATAGACATTTTTTTTTTGATAAAGGTAGATAATCTTATAAGGAATCTTGTATTACATTTTAAAATCTTAGATTTAAAAAGAAAAATTTTTACGAATTCTTATCTCAAAATAATTTGATAATTTTCGTGATTTTTTTCATATTTTGTCAATATTTGAACTTCAAATGCTTATAAAAAAAACTGTGACTAAGGATTTTTAATATTTTTCATCTACCGTTGAAAAAATATACTAGGAGCCCTCTATTTAATTTTCAAGCTTCTTTAACCAACAAATAAAATTTTATTGATATTTATAGAATAAAAAATTTGAAAAAATAGGAAACTGAAAATGTCAATAAACAGCTCAAATAAGTCAAAATATTTTTTAAAAAAAGGCATGGTGTATAGAAAATGTTAATATAAACAGTCAGTAAAAATTTCATGTACCTACGGTCATTTGTTTTAGAGTTACACCAAAAATCAAAATCGATTTTCTCGAAAACAGATTTTGCGTAAAAATTCCCGTTTTTCCTTTTTTTTCATGTTGCTTTTGAAAACTACTTTGAAATTTTTACTTTTGACCCCCCCAAAGTACAAACTAGATTCACTTTCCTATCAGAAAAGATACTGTTGAAGAAAATCCAAGCACTTTTACTGTCCTAAAAGGTGATGACAGACACAAAAAAAAAAATAAAAAAAACACACATCATTGTAAAATCAATACATTCATCTTGCTTTCAGAATCTAATATGTTTTATGGGAATCGTGAGAGGAAATTAATATTTTAAAGCCACCGGCTTCTGCCCCCTTTTCGGTCATACTTACAACGAATTTGTTTTTAAACATCCTTAATTTTTCATTCCTCACAAAAAAAAAAAAAAAATATATTACATAATACATAATACATAATATTTAATAAACATAAGTTTGTAGGTGTAAAACATATGAAAAAAAATAGTACCTATAATATTAAAAATCCAATTATTCGTCAAAGTTAGGGCAGATATAGATTAGTGTAAAACATACTATAAAAAAAACCAAAAAAATAGTCAGTGTAAATAATATTTGTAAAAACACAGATCATTTTAAATGATATAGGTATATAAGTGTAAGACATCTTAAAAAAAATAGTATAATAATAAAAATCAAATTATTCGTCGAAGTTATGGCAGATATAGATAAGTGTACTTAAAACATACTATAAAAAAAAAAAACAAAAAATTTCGATTTTCTAAAGAATACTTTCTACAGAAATGCCATTCGTTTATGACCTATAATGTAACATAATGTAATTACGGTATAAACATTTGTAAACGGATTTTCTAATATTTTCTTATTACGCAAATGGTAAATAATACATTACCTAATAGTTACCGTTTCACTTATTTTCCATAAAATATAGTAATTTGTAATTATTATATCAGAGCATTCCGGAATTTTGGCTCAACAATAATGTTGAAGTAATGAAGATAATATTAAGTACTTAATATACTAACGTTACAACTTAAAATAAATTAAACTAACTACCTACCTATCTATTATTAATATATATTTTTTAGAACTATTGAAATAAATAAACGTGTGATTTTAGAGCAATCAAGGTATTAATAAATTATATTGTTAAAACATTCTCAAATGTAATTTACTGAATTTTCTGGAATCTAACTTTTGATAAAATTAAACTTGTCCATGTGCTTATCCTCCGTTAAAATCTACAGGGATTTCTTTATCCGAGGTTATTTCTAAACACGAGGTCTTTCACTGATTTAAACAGATTTCACGGATAAACATAGCCAAACTTAGTACCATTTTGCTTCGAGTGGCAATATTAAAATACCAGCAAGTTCAAATTGGCATGTTTCAATACATTTTTACGAGATTCATTACAATCATCAAGAAAGGTAAATTATGTAATTGTTCAAAATGCATACATTTTAGATTCTGAGCGGAGCGATGAATGTATTGATTTTACAATGATGTATATTTTTTTTTTTGTGTCTGTCATCGCCTTTTAGGACAATAAATTTGCTTCGATTTTCTTCAACAGTATCTTTTCTGATAGAAAAGTGAATATAGTTGGTACTTAGGGAGGTAGATAAGTAAACATTTTTTAGTAGTTTTCAAAAGCGCCGTGAAAAATAAAGGAAAAACGGGATTTTTTAAGCAAAATCGATTTTGGTTTTTGGTGTGACTCTAAAACAAATGACCGTAGATACATGAAATGTTGACTGAACATGTTGATTGTTTACATTGGTATTTTCTATACACCATAATATTTTAAACCGTGGTTATGTGTGAAAATTCACGTTTTTCCTTCCCCTCCCCTTGACGCTTTTGAAAACCCATAGGCATACTCCACTACGCTTTGCATTACAATTTATAATATTACACCATAATGACGGTTTAAACTTATAAACTGTTAATTTTGTTTAACTACTGTATAACACATTTATACATAATATTATTTCTCTATTCTTATTAATTGATCGATTGTTAGTACCACGGTTATCTACACGTGTAGATAACCTTGGTTAGTAGTTAGTACTAATCTTAACCACGTCCGTTTGAAATTAAACTACGAATACCGGAATACGTATAATCATGTTCTGTGGTATGATAGAAGGTATATTAGAGACGCCAAATCGACGCGTCGGCAGCAGTCTGATATTATTATTATTATCAAACTGAACAATAATAATAATATTGTTGGTCTGTGGGGTTAATCGGGTTGGTAAAAACGCTACTAAAACGTACGAACTAAAATGTAACGTACGAACTAAGAATGGTGCCGGAGTACCAGGGAATCATGATCTAATCGTTATTTTTCTTCAGTTTCGGCGGCGGCTCGACGGCTGTTGCGACAGTAGTCTCATTCCCACGACTGGTGTACCTACTTGGCCAATACAATTTGATATTGGTGGTTACTTGCCATGCAGTCTTATCGGCAATCGGCATACTTGTACAATTATTTGTCACCGATGTCGTTCCCGTGTCCGGTGTAGGTAAATGTGACACAAGTAAAAGGAATGGCCAATATACTTGTACAATGTACAGTTGTACTACTGATCCCATGACCGGTTGGTGTAGGAAAAACGGTAGCATGATAAGTGATAACTTTGGTCCAGAGGTGCCGAAGTTAAGGTAGGTATTAATAATAAAAATTCTATAATATAATAATTTTTTTATTGTACATTAATGTATTAACATTTGTTAGAATTTTTTTTGTTTATATAATTGAAAATTTATTTTATACACACATGTTTGAGATCGATGGTTGATCGATTAGCATTTTTTGTTAGATTTTTACGTAGATACTAATGTACTATACTTATTTTATGTGACGCACGTACACTTACTTACGTTTTATTAAGAATTATAATGTATGGATACAATGTATTGTATGCAAATAATATATGATAGGTAATATTCAGGGTTTGGAACATTCATTCAAAAAATGAATGCATTCACATTCACTTTCATAGAGCTTAAAATTGAATGCATTCACATTCAACATTCATGTAAAAAAATGTTTTATTTTATTTGAATAAAACATAATATATTAATTTATTTTTTGTGTTTAACAAGGCATTTTATATATTGCATGAATATATATTAACATGTTATACAAATTAGTTGTTACTAATGAGATGAATGAGAAACATCTTTTGTTTCGCAATAAATATTAAATAATA